AGATATGTGATATTTTATAAATTATCTTAAAATTTTTATAAATTTTCTTGTATATAAATATCTATGTATTTAATCTCTATTGATATATTAATTCATATCAATTTTAGAAATTATTTTATATTCTCTTTGGTTTATAATAATATATAATTAAATAATCAATATTGCTACTATTTTAAACTAACGATTTCTGATTATAACATTGCAATCTATTAGAGTAGTTTTTTTTCTTTTCTTTTTTTTGATTCTAATACTTTTTTCATCCTTTCAAAAATTGCTTAAAATTATCGATTATTTCTTGAAATTATTGGAGTTCTCTTTTTATTTGATTTAGTTGATTTAGTTTACAGATCAGCATAATCTATAGATTTAGATATGTATGTTGAATCATTAATTTTTCCAAATGCATTTGAAGTCAATTAAGTTGGCTAATTTGAATTGTGTATTCTAGGCTTATAATGAATAAAATATAAATACTTTCAGCTTGAATTTAAGAAATACTTATTTATATGAATCATAAAAAGATGTTGTAGGTTGTTTTTATATTTTAGAGATAGTGCAATACTATGATTTTGCTCTTGGTTTTGGTACTCTTTCTGATTCAATTGTTTTTTTTGACATCCAATCTGATAGTGTTTCATGCCTTTGTTTCAATACAAACTTGTGATCATCATCTGAATGCTTTAGTTGTGACTTTCCTTGTTTGTTTTTTTTCAGATTCAAATAACAATTATTTAGATTATACATTTTTTCCATTAAGAAAAATAGTTTAACAATTATTCCATGATATAAACATATTCAAATTCTAATCATTACAAATAATTACACTAAATTTCTAAACTGAAACCTATATAAAGAATAGTTAATAAGATAAATGGGCATTAGTATAAAGAAATGAATATTATTCTTTAGAATATATGTTTCAATTTTAATTATATTTCTATATAAATTATAAAAAAAAGGAGTCTTTATAAAGATTTATATCTATAATTTATAATCTTATTCTAATCTTAAAATATTTCAACATTACTTCATTATTTATTATAGAATTTACAAAGCTAATTTCAAATTTTATGTATTCCCATTCAAATAGCCAAATTGATCCTAATATGTTAACATCAACTCATGTCGAAACAGATGTAAATCAACAGTAAGAAAATTTGGAGGAAATTGAGAATTTAAGTTAAATCAAAAAAGAATTAGATGATTCATAACTTATAACCAATTTTGATTTGAATCTTTCCAATTTAGTTTTAAGAAGATGTATTTATAATTAATATTTTAAGGTTATGTATTTGAGGATCAAATCATTAAATATGATAAAATTTTAGAAAAAAATCCCACTTGTGTTGAAGCTTTAATTGAAAAAGGTAATATATAAATTAGATAATCTCTAGCCAAAAATTTAGTTAGCCTTTAAAGATTAGAAGATGCCTTAGAATGTTGTAATTAGGCTATATCTATTGATAATGGCTATATATAAGCCTATTTTGAAAAAGGTATTTTTATTTTATTCATATAAGCTAAAATATTTTGTAAATAATAAAAGATGGAAGAAGCAATTAAAGCATATGAAGCACTTTTATCTAAAAATTCAAAAAATAATGATGCTATTCAAGAATTATGTAATTATGATTATATAAAATAAGCTTCACTTTAAAATTAAATTCAATAAATATAGAAAGCCCTCAAATATTATGACTAATTATTGGCTTTTGATAGAAAAAATAAATTTATCTATGTAGAGAAAGCCAAATTATTATAAAAATAAAATAAATTTGAATTGGCTCTTAAATGTTGTGATTAATTATTGAGTTTTGATCCATATGAAAAGTATGCATATTTACAAAAAGGTATCTTAATAAATAATTGATAGCCTTATTATTATAATAAATTAATGAACCTTAATTAGCAATAGAATGTTATGAGAAAGTAATCGAAATTGACTCTACAAATAAATATGCTTATCTAGCAAAAGGTTTTTATTTATTTTAATATTAGTTAAATTATTAATGGAGATAAAAAACTATGAAAAGGCTTTAAAATATTGTGATAAGATTTTAAATTTTGATCCAAAAGAAATTTATGCTCAAATATAAAAAGGTATCATTATATCTAATTTGAAAAAGCCAGAATTTTAGAATGTCTTCAAAGATATGATCAAGCTATAAAATGTTGGGATGAAATAATTAGTTAAGAATAAAATAAAGCTGAACCAAGTGTTGAAAAAGGTTTAATTTATTTTTAAGTTTTTTAGCTCGTGTATTAGTCAAATAAAATAAAAATAAGGAAGCTATAAAGTGTCTAGATATTATTCTATCAAGTAATAAGGCAAATAGAGATGCTAATATACAGAAAGGTATATAATTAATTATTATTTTTAGCATAAATCTTAATGTAATAAGGATCATTAGAATAAGCTATTTAATGTTGTTAATAAATTTTAACTCAAGATTCAGGATCAGAAAGAGCATGGCATTATTGTGGTAAGAAAATTAATTAAATTTTTAAGGGCAAGCTTTTAAATTCTTAAATTAATTGAATGAGTCCTTAAAATGTTATGAAGAGATATTAAAAACAAATAGCAATGATTGGTATTCTTAATACTAAGTAAAAGAATTGAAAGAGTAAATAAAAAAGCAAAAATTAATAAAAAATGATTGAGATTTATTTTATCTTATTCAAATTGATAAAATTATTCTTTAAAAATCTAAGAATTACATAGAACTCACATAATAATTAATTAAATCTACAAAATATTATTTTTAATGATTGTTAATTTATAAAATCAATTGAAGAAGAAGTTTACATAATATTATAGAGAAATAAAAAATAAATATTAAATTTTAATTAATATATATATCATAAAATAATATTTTTTCTGTTTTCAAATTTTTCTATTAATTCTTTTGATTTCTAAATTGATTAATCTTAATCTTCATATTAATATACTCTAACTAATTAATATTTAAAAAATTTACATTGACTATTTGTGAGATCTATTTTTAAGAGTTTAGTTATAGTTTTTAAATTTTATTCTGATTTATTTTCATTCTAAGTGTGAAATATTGTATAAAAATTTCCATAGGCAACACAACCTTCAAAGTCTTACACAGGTTAAAATGTTTTCCCACCAGAATTAACTATAGTAAGAATTTATTAAGGAGGTTCAAGTGAAAATAATTCATTTAATCTAAATATACCATTTTCCCAATCTAAAGTATATATTTCTCTCTTTCCCATTTTATAATCTTCAGTCAACGGTTTCTTGAGAAATTCTCCTGATAAAATTAATTAATTTCTCCCATAATATGGACAAGAAAAAAGAGGAGTACATAGAACTTTTTATTAATATTATTCTTCTGACTTTTTTGAAAATTCAGGTTCAAAATATTTTTATTAATTACCAAATAGATTTTCTTCCTTACAAGAAAATATTTATATTTTATTTTATTATCTACAAAGATGATTAGGCATACCATTAGGATGATGAGATATACCTCCATAAAAGATTACTAATTTATCAAAAATTGGGTCTTAATATACAAAAAAACTTCCATCAAATCTATTTTCTAATAGAATATCTAGTTTCTCCCATCTATTTTGTTTATATACATAAGGATTATTCAATAGTTCATAAATAGTTTCCCCATCTACTACTTTTCTTTTCTAACCATAAAAGACATATATTTTTCTGGAATTGTAAAAATAAAAAATACCCATTATATCCTGTGCCCATAAAATTATAGCCTTCTAAAGGTAAATTTGGTAAAATCTCAATTAAAGCTTATTTTTTCTCATATGGATCACTTGGTATTTGAATTCTTATAAATTATGAACTCTATTTGTATCTATCTGTTGTATATACTCCTCCTATAATATATAATTAATGATCTTTTCCTTCACTAAATTCTTTTATACATAATTGTTGTTCTAAAATATCAATAGGATTTTAATTATATTCTAAATTGTATTCATGCCAAACATCATAATATACATAATATACAATTAACTATGTTGAAATTAATAGTTACAAGTGATTTTAATCTATTAGCTACTCCTGATATTTATTTTAATGCAAAAATGAAATCATTTTTTAAAGATTTATTTCCAAAAGATATTAATCTCATAGATTTATTAAATATATGTCTAATATCCTATTTTTTAAGTTCTATTAATTTTTATAAATTTCTTATGAATATTTATCTTTCCTTTGATATTATATATAATTTTCGATTGAGATATTGGGATAATTTCTCAATTGTTTAAGCTATATCATCATTTATTTTTTTTTTTTAAGGTATTTATTCTTTATTTATAAGGAGATGCCTTTTCTAGATACCTAAAATAGCAGAAGTTCCTGGAATAGTTACTTTTTAAAAGTTTAAATCTTTTTTATCGTCTTTAACTTTAAATTTATAAACTGGATTGGAGTAGGATGCCTTATAAAAAAGTTCATTTGATTCAATATATTTATTGGGATTCATTTTTTTATATTATTGTTTAAATAATTTAAAAGCTTCTAAAGCATGATATAGCTTATAATCTACACCAAATTCAGTAGTAATTATCTTTTTATTACATCCAGGACAAACAACAATACTATTGAATTTAAACTATATTGAATACTTTTATGTTTTATCATATTTATTGCAATATTCTAACCAAAAGTTTAAATCGAAAATACATTTAAGCAAGGCAAAATTAGAATGTCTTACAGGTATATCAATAATAGATTTTGAAAATGAACATAAAATTGGTAATTGTACTTCTTCTCCTTACATTTTAGTTTGTATGAATAAATCAACATCGTCACTAATATTCTTTGATTTCAATTCCAATTCATAAGAATTCATTATAGATAATTTATATTGATTATTTTTAATATTTGTTCTTTGAAATTATTATATATATATGATTGAGTTATTAGACATAAATTTAATCTTATTTGATGACTTAGAAAATGATTTTGATAATAAACTAATTGAATATTATATTTTTTAATGAAGTAAGGATATCTCTTTTTTCTGGTTGGTGTTTAATGTATTCTATACTAATTTAATGCTACAAATCAATATTTATTAGTGGAGAATGAAGCAGAGGAATGGAAATAAATGAAAATTTAGATATATGAACATAATGTTAAATAAATTGAGGCAATTGAAAATTATGAAAAATACTTACAACTTTATTATAAATTGAAATTAGGATCATATTATGAACTAGAAATAGTTATAATTCCTGAGACTAATTTCAAAATTCAATAAATAAATTAAAAAGAATGTCCTAAGCAATGTTCTAATAATGGAATTTGTATTAATACAAGTTGTCAATGTTATGAATTGTTTTTTGGGTATTATATTAAATTATGTATTTAATAGATCAAGATGCTAATTTGAAATAGAAAGCTATTATAACATTCAATAATATAATATTGAATTACATTAATATGAAACTTCGTATTTATTATTGTAGTATCAATAATCAGATTTGATCAATGAACAAGGGTAATTTCTATTAATTAAGATAGAGATAGACAAAAAATATGATTTTGTAAAGTAATCATCGTATAGAAATTCAGCTTTATGTAGTTCTACCATATCAAAATATCTCTACAAGTATTAAAAATCAAAACATTCTATACAATTAGTCATTAAATGGATCTAGTACAATAGATTTTTCATCATTTTATTAATCTTATAGCAGTTCTTCTATTAGTTATTCATTCTTTTTTATTTTTACAAATAACTATACAAATAACTAAAGATATTCAATAACTTTTGAATTAAAAAGCCAAGAGATCACATTTTAAGATTTTATTTTAGTAACTATACTTAGTGTAGTTGCATTTATCATTTTATTAATTGTTATATTTATAGTAAGAAGGAGATGCTAATATATTTAAATAAGTAAATTAAAATATTCAATTGATAATTAACCAAAAATTGATATTGTTGGATAATTACCAATTGTTACACCTGCAAAAGATGAAGAATGTATAGTGTGTTTAGATTTATTGGAAAATTAGTAATGTAGATAAACATCTTGTAAACATATATTTCATGAATAATGTTTGAATGAATGGTTATAAAAATAATAAACTTGTCCATTATGTAGAGATAACTTATTTGAAGAAGAAGGAGCATAAATAATGAAAATTAGAAATTTAAGTTCCTCCTCTATAGTTGCTGGCTAATTTTCAATTATTTAAAGTGAAAGACAACCAATTTAATAAATTATACTTTCAAGATCAATGAATAATAGATTAGCTGCATTCTAATGATTCTTTTAATATAATTATATTAATTAGTTATTTTTTTCTATTTATGGTTTAAAATTATAAAATAAAGGATTCTAAATTAATTTAGGTTTTATTGTTTTCAGTGATTCATTTAGAGCAATCACAACAACAAATTTTAATTATTTTTTTTTTGATTATAGAGAATTATTTTATAAATTATTTATTTATCAAAATTTGCTTAAATTTTAAATCATTAAATTCATTTGAGATTCAAGTATGTTCCTTAAGACTGTTACTTTCTCTAAGGTATTCATATTTTCATATTCTAATTAATTTATGCCACAAGACTCAATATACTAATGATCTAGTTGTCGTTTTTAAAAGTACTTTTTAATCTTTTTCCATTTTAAACTATGTTTTGGTTTTAAAGCTGATTTACTGATGTCTTAAAATTCTTTTATATTTAATGTTTGAAACTGTTTTTTAAGATCTTCCCTTTGATTCTAATCTTTAATGATAAATGAAAGTTTAGATTCATTCTCTTTGAAAAATTTAATGGAGTTCTCATGAGTCTTATCTTCTAGAATCTCAAAACTATTATTATTCTTAATTTAATCACTTTTAATGGATTTGACAGCCAATAATTGTATAGTATTAGATCTAAAAATGATATAATTCATACGCATCATCTATTAAACAAATAGCAAAGTTTTAGATCACTTTAACAAGTTGATCTCTTTTTTCTTTTTTCCACATTCTACCCTCTTATTTGTAGACTCTATATATGGCCTTTATTGTTGAGAGATTATACCCTGTTAGATCTGATACCTTTTGGAATCATATTTATTTTACCTAAGAAGGACTCATTTTATTATTGACTAAAGCCTTTACAATCTAAATACGTTCATTTCCTGGTATTGGTTTGTACTTTGTGTTTTGTTGAGTGTAGGTTTCTTGATTATTCATGTTTAAGATTTAATTAAAATTATTGTTCATGAACTTTCAGCGATTAATAATGACCAATAGTAATTAGACTTTATATAATTTATTAACAAAGTAAGTTTTTTTGTGAATTAATGATATTCAAGAATCAAATAGAATCTTTATAATAACTCAAAAGTAGTCAAAACCTCAATTTTTTGAAAACTTTATACTTTTATAAAATATAAATGATTAAATCATTAAGGTTATATTTTATTATATAACTAATAAATTAAAAAAAAACTCTAAAAAATAGTATTAATATTAAGATAATAGATTAAAACTATATTAAAATGATATACTGAATCAAAATTTTAAGGTGTTGTTTTATCCTGTCTCGCTGAAAATTACCAAATATATATTTAATATGACATATTTTAAAATATCTACAATCACTAATATAAATATCAAACTCCAGGTTTAATAATCCTTTGATAATGACAGAAATAGAAGTAATGATGGTTCAAATAATATTATTTCAATACTTTTCAAAATGTAACTACTAATCATTATCGTATTAATAATATTTTTTATCTACTTTTTAGGAATGCATAGAAAACAAAATTCTACTGGTAATAATACAAATAGGATTGTTCTGCAATTCAAAATGTTATTTTTATAATTTAGAGGTTTTAAATCACATTCCCTAGGTTCTTCTTCTGTTATAAAGTTTTATCTATACAAATGACTAATTGGAATAAAAGATCTATTCTATAAATTAAATTAATCCATAAATAACAACTTTATAGTACTATACATATGGAATACTCTTGGAATTTGGAATAATATGATAAAGTAATTTAAATATTAAGTAACTGTGTCTATCTTTAAGCAAAATAGTGTAAATATAGTCATTCGTAAAATTACATCTAATATCACATTTGCGAAAAGAAATTTTCGAATTAAGGATTTATTTTCTTTAAGAAACTACAAATATAGGAAAGTAATGTTGATAGCTGTTTCTTAATGAAAGTTAAAATAACTATCTTTTCTCTTAGCTTCTCTAAAAAGTAATCGAGGATTCAATTTTGAAGGATTACTAGAATATATGTCATAATCGTAATATTATAGTTCGATGTTATTCATAGTTGTTGAAGTAAAATCACTTTAAGTATGTTCTGAAAGTGGTTGTAATAACTATGAATTAGAATCAAGCATCAAACCAGATTTACTATTATTTCTGAGCTAAGACCTCATAATTCTGTATATATAATAATATCCGATTTAATAACACAAAAATATCATCTTATTAGATTCATTGGATATCAAACAAGCCCATAATTATTTACTTTAGAGTCTAGAAAAAATAATATAAAGAAACTTAATTTGATGTATAATTAGATCTTCTAGAAATTGAAATAATTATATTTCTCATTTAAATATAATGTTATTTAATCAAAAAAAGAATTAGTAATTATATGATTTGAATTCAATAGCATTATTTTTTCCTTTTTTGAATATTTTATGTTTTATCCTCTTTTTTTTTAAATATATAATTTGTGATTGTATTTTAGTTCAATATAGTTTAATTCATGCTTTTTTTATTTTTATTTTCAAGTATAAACCTCCTAATAAAAAGTAATCAATTTATATCGAAAAAATGATGGGTTATAATTTGAGAATATCAAATTTAATCAAATTGTGTAAAAAAAAATTAAGTTAACAAGAAAACAATAAGGAATTTAACTCAAAATATATAAAAAATGTAAGTTAGCTAAAAATTTAGAATAATTCCTCATTAATATATCTATTATTATATAATTGTTAGTTAAATATAATATGTAATAATAGTATTTATGATTATTATATAAATTGAAATTATTATTGTATTAATTCTGTAATAGATTATTATAGTATTTACATACTTTCAAATATATCTAATAGTATTTAAATAATAATAAGAATGTAAATATACTCTACTAGTAGAATATAAAAAAAATTAACAAACATAATCATCTATCCTTTAAGTTTATTTTATAGATTATTATCAGATGATTAGATTAATTAAAAATACTAAATATTAGTTTTAATATGATGTATGAAAATTATTATCATATATTATTGCATATCTATGGATATATTTCTTTGGAATTATTAGGCCTTTATAATTTATTTGGATTAGCTGAATAAGTCCAAAATTATGCTGGTGACTTTTATGAAATATCACCTATGCTTCCATCTACACAAAGTGCCAACCAAGTTAAATTTGGTTCATTCTTTAGATTATTAACTTAAGGTAATTAGTATCTAATGATGGGTCTTTCTTGTTCAGATGCATAAAGAGTTATAATTGGTTTAATTTCTTTGAAAATTGGATCATTATCAATAGTTGATGTATCAATAGAATGTCCTTATTATTTTTTAATATTTAATTCTTTTAATTTTGGATCTAATGGATCAAATGCAACAAAGAAAGTATATTTTCTTTCTGCTAATTAATTAACATAGATTGCTTGAGCATTTTCACTTCCATAGAATTTCATACCTCCACAATTTTCATTGAAGAAACCAACTGTACATTCTGTGTATGAAGCACCAAGTAATAAATCAAATTTATTATGTTTTGGTGTTTCCAATACAACAGTAAATTAACCTTTAATTGTAGATCTAGGTATCATTGTAACTTCTAAACTTTTGGTTTCTTAAGTGTTTTTGAATTTATTACAATATAAATAATATCCTTTTTTTTCAGCTCCAAAATAGTATTCTTTGACAACCATATTATATAAAACACTATCTTAATCTACAGTAACTAAAATAATTATAAATAAATATTATACTCAATCTTGATGGAATAGGTTTAATTTTTCCACAATCATCTTCATTTTTATAGAAATATAAAATGACATCATTTAATTATTATCCTGTTTCTATATCTACTATATTGACTTAAAGATTTGTAAATTTAAGATTATTAATGTATTCTTTTTGATTTTAAGAGAATTTCTTTTCTTCATCATGTGTTCTATGTCTTTACCATAATAATCTAGTATTTTTAGCAGTTTCTATTTCATAAATATCAATTTATATCTTTTTATCTCCTTCACTACAAATTTGAACATGATTTTATAATATATTTTTGATTTCATCTTTATTACCTTAAACTCCAAACATTCCATCTGTATTTTCATTAGCTTAAGGATATAGAATATTTTTAATCATTAATTTTGGAATATATGATACATTAGGAGAATTAACATATTCAGTAACTACAACTTACATTTTTGGAGCCAATATAGTAACTCTAGAATTTCCTTTTAAATCTATGTCTTTATTATTATTTTATGATTTAAAAACAGTCATTAATGGTTCACATCCTGTTACATTTTCAATTCCTGTAGGATAAACAAGAGGAGTTTTATTTTATTTAATTACTTTTTAATTTTCAACAATTATATTATCAATTTAATGAGGTATTTTGGGTACAGAAAACACTAATAATAATGAAAAGATTAAAACTATTATTGTAATTAATACAAATATCCAATCTAAAGTTCTATTTGGTATTTATTAAGTCTTAACACTTGTATCTACTTATAATAAAGCCATTGATAAAGCAAATCCACTTATTACAAGTAATAAAATTGAAAAACCAGCTTTGAATAAATTTTATGAAATTGAATCAGAAAATGCATTACAACATGATACATTTAAACATTTCTAAGTTTAATCATTTTCCCATGATATAGCTTAATTTTATGGTTCACATTACATTTTTTCTAAATATTTTTTACATTAAGCATTTTCTTATATCCAACTTTCATGAGTATTTCTCATTTATTATGTACATTCATTAATATATGTAGTTCTAACTTATTCACTTAATCTGATTACATGAAATGAACAAGCTGCAATCAAAAAGATTATTATAAGATTTGCATAACCTACTGTTTCAAAAAGATCATTTCTATATATAAATGTCAATAAAAAAGATATTAATGCTGTGATTATTGCTCCAACAGCTAAAATTTAAAAGATTGTAAATGCACGATTAGATGTAACAGGTGAATATGGAGTTGCTAAATCTGATAATACTTAATTTGAATAAAGTAGTGCAAATGAAGCTATAATGATAGTTGTTAAAGAAAAAACATAGATACATACTCTTAATTAATTCTTCTATTAAATTGTGATATAACTAGTAAATGCTACATACATTAACATTAAACTAATTATTATCATAATTGGTATTGCTATGTATAATCCATAAGTATAATAACTCATATATTATGTAGGTGTTGTTTAACTATCATAATGTCTTGCTAAATAAAAATCTTTTCCTATCCTATACCAAAATACTATAAACACTAATAAAAAACAGTTAAATAAAATATTTAAGAATGATCCCAAAAATACTGCAATGGAGAATCTTTAATCCACATCCAAGACTTCATGTGATTATTAATGATCATCTTATGTTCTTACTGTAGTTGTATTAAACCAATAAAAAATGATACCCTAAATTCAAATTAACATATAATTTTACACATAATATCAGTGAGAATATCGCTGAAATTAATAAAAGCAACATTATAGTAAATGAATATTTATTGAAAAATACTAAGGATATTATGATTAATCCAATTGCAAAAAGCAAAGTTAAAATAGTTAATCTGGTCGATAATTCTTAAATTAAAAAATATATTTATACTTTATTTAGCTAATAATTCTCTCTCAGACCATCCTTCGCTATATTTATGGCATTTTTAATTGATCACTTCCATATTAACTGTAAATTTTATATTATTATTTATATCAAAAATTAGCTACTAATTCTTTTATTTATATTAAAATAAAATATGAATATAAAATTAATATTTCTTTTCATACTTACCCTAATTATCCCTTTTCTACTCTCTCTTTAATTTTTTTTGGATCTGGTGGCATTAAACTGAATTTAGCAACTACACTCTTTGAAATTCTTCTGAATTCTTTATAAGTATCTTCATTTCCATGATGTAATTCAAAATTCTCCCAAGTTTTCCATAATCCAAAATCATCAAATCTTGGATCACTGAATTAAGATATATGTATATAGACTGCTCTTGCTCTATCTATTTCTCCAAATTTTCTTTCTAATTAAGCTAATCTTAATCCCATTTAAATTAATTCAGCTTCTTATAAATTCTCTATTGCACTTTCAAATACAGGTCTTGTTTTTGTTATTCCTAAATATAAAGCTACTTTTGCTATATAAATATTATAACTAAATTAATAATATTAAATTACGCTTCCATTTTATCTTAATATTCAACATTAAATACCATTCTATCATATATTTCAATAGCATGATTTAATAATCCATATTATTCTTCAAATTCTCCATACATTAAATAAAATATTCGATTTTTCTAATTTATTAATAAAAAATAATTACATCTTTAGGAACTTATTCAATTACAGTTTCAAAAAGATTTCTTGTTCTTTCTATTTTTTGACCTCTATATCTTTAAATAAATTTAGTTATATAAACAATCCATAAATCATATAGAGCTGGCCAATCAAATAATTAAACTCCAGCCTCAAATACTTTAAATGATTCTTCATAAAATGCATTATCTTCTAAAAGTTAAGCATAATTTATAATAATAAATGGAGTAACAACTTTTAATTCAACCATACGTTTATAAGCTGCTCTTAATGATTTAAAATTTCCAAAATTTCTCTCTAAATCTAAATAAAGTTACCATAATTATAAAGAATAAGGAACCATTTCAGATGGTGTCATTTTATCTAATTTTTTTACATATCTTTTAAATAATCCTTATTTAATTACAGTAAGAGAATCATTAACAAATCCATCTAAAAGTAATGTTTCAACCCATTATGACCATAAATTTACATGTTCTTCAATATTTTTAAATTCAATTTTTGATCCTTTATGAAATATTTAATTACAAGTTTTCCAATCACCTTTATTTCTATAATAATTAGCATAAGCTATCCATATATCACTCAATTTTCCATTATCTGCTAAATTTGGTTCAACAATTTCAAGAGCTTCTGTAAATGTTTTCAAAGCCATTCTTTCATCTCCTTTTACTAATTCAATTCTTTTTAACCATTCTTCAACATTATATTTATTTTATCTTAATATACATGAATTTAATAATATTGGTCTTCTTTCTAAAAGTTCATCTAATCTATCCATTTTTAATAATAATTCATCTTCTATTTATACTTCATCATCTTATGATGATTTTATTTTTAATAATTAATCTAATTTAGTTGATAATATAGTATCATCAATATCATCTTAATTTTCATCATTTTCATCAAAATCTTCTAACATTTAAATTATTGTTTCCTCATATTTTACATATGCATTAAAAACCAAACTAAAATCTTTTACTGTTAAAACATTATTAACTGCATCTTCAAATGTATCTCTAGCTTATTCAAATTAACCTGTTTTAATATAATAATCAGCTAATTTTATCCATAATTAACCAATCTCATCTGAATATTTTTTTATTCCAAATTTCATTATTGATGCTGCATCTATTGGTAAATCATTAGGATGTCTAGCTATTATTTCACATAAATATTTCATAAAATCATATTTTGTTTTACCACTTGAAGAATTAAATTAATCATCATTTAATATATCTACTAAAATTTAACATGCCTTTCCCCATAATTATTTTGATACTAAATAATCTAAATATTCTTCTTTATAATCTGGATTTATTTTTATATATCTATTATATATAGAAATTGCAGTTTTTATAGAATCTGTTTTTGATATCTAAAATTTAAATATAATTCATACCCATTAACAATATGCCTTCCAAATTCTATGATGTTGAGTTACTGGTAATGATTATAAGGCTCTATCATATACATTTCTAGTATGTGTATATTTCTACAATGATGCACTATATTCTGCATACATCAACCAAATATTAGGCATTTTGTGCATATACACTAATGCTCTTTCAAAATATCCAATCATTTCTTCAAATTTATTTGATAAAAATGTGCTTCTACCTCCCAAATCTTCTAGTTATTCCTTCAAATAATTGAACCATAATTTATAACAATTTGGAATGTATTTAAAGGCTCTTTCATACAAATCAATTCTTGTTGCATAAGGTTTATCTCGATGTGCCTATAATACTATCCACCATGCTCTTAAAGTGAATCTTGAATATTATTCTTGTTGGGTATCAGGAGCAGCAAAAACAACTTCAAATTTTGAACTTCCCTTAACTTCCAACTATTCCAATTTATAGTGAAGCAATTGTGCATTCATTAATTTTTATAAAAATTCAATATTTTAATAAATATTACTTTCTCTCACTCATCATTATTATTATATGCAGTAATACAATCATCAATTTTTTTCAATAAATCTTAGAGATTCTTTTCATCAAAAAAAGGATTCAAAATATAAGATCTATATAAATCATAGATCTATTTTAATATATCCTTTGGTCTCTTTTCTTCTTTTGTACATATCATTATAATCTTATTTTCTGTCATACTCATGAATCCAAATATTTTTAATTCATTTAAAATTCCTATTTAACCCATAAAACCATTATTTGGAGATATTTGATATGCAAGTTCAATTAAATCACATTATGTATTAATAATCAACTCTATAAAAGCTTCATCAAAATTTTCATAATTCCTACAAATTATAGGTGCATTTTTTGAATCAAGCAAACAAATATATTTTATTGTATTTTTCATTGTATAATAATTATTATAATAATGATTTCATATACATTCAAAAAATTCATCTATAGATGATTTTAAATATTTGTGTTAAATTTGATTATAGTAAGTTTTTCATTTATATACTTTAAGAATACGATAACCCCCATCGTTTGGCATTAAATTTATTTTTATAATTTAGATTTAGTTCAGATAGATATTATATATTAAATTAATAACTAAGAAAAATGTCTAGCAATTCTGATTCTTAAATTGCATTTAATAGTGAAGACTCAGAAATCAAACCTGAGAGTTCATCTTTTGTTAGTAAAAAGTCATAAAAAATCAAAAAGAAGGAACGAAAATAAAAATAACCTAATTGGAATCCTGGAAGACCTGGTAAACCCTAAATTTCACAATTACCTTTTGAACAAGATTTATTTATATAAAGTAGTATGAAAAACATATGGTTTTGTACTGATATTTCTATGAAATGTTTAATATACCTATGTAAAAAAGGAAACATGATCCTAAAAATAAAAACAGGGAAACCAGCAGAATCAGTTAAGAAAGATTTCTTAAATCTTTTTGGAAAGAATAATATCAAATCCTATAAAAAATATAAGAAAGAATTTAAGAAAAAACTAAAGGTATCATTTATAATATTCAACTAAGGAAAAAAACATTGCTATATTGAAACATTTAGGTTATTCAGAAAAAACAACCTATCTATTTTTATCTAATAATGAAGGAGATCAAATAGACCTAAAGTTAGAATGTGTAACAAATTAAACAAAATAAGGCCTCTTATCACTTATTAGATATTTATCTCCCTAATTTACATATACATATAAAGTAATTGTTGAATGTTTCTATTCTTGTTTGGCTTTAGGTTAAGAAGATAATTAAAATACAATTATTGATACTATTGTTGATAAATTAAAGTCAGATAAAGAGAATCATAAAATGATCTTTGATATGCAATTAATTTAAGAACTCTTATTATATGATTTTGAACTTTTGAATTAAATTGTACTAAAATTTATTATATAATAGGAAAATGATCCTGAAAAAGCTAATTTATATTAAAGATCTAATATGAGTGTTAATGTTCCTAATTTTAACACTAATTTCTATAAAGACTAAGTTGAATCTATTGAATAATATTCAAATTGGATTAATACCTTTATTAGTGAATTTGTAGAGATTTTAAAATAATATTAATGAATTATGATATAAATTAATAGTTCATAAAAATAAATGATGAAAAATTAACTGCTCCATTAATCTGTTAGTATAATCATCTAACTTCATCAAGAATTGAAAGCAAATTCAACTATCTCTTCTTAATTAGCATAAACATTAATTGATACAGCTTAATAAATTGAAAGAGTTCAAAAATAAGAATAATAATAATTCAAATATGTAGATTACTCTAAAGATGAAAGTGTTTAAAAAACTATTAAAAATAAAAGGACTTCCAGTTAAATTATTGTTAAAGTCTAGAGTCCTTAATGCAAAGAGATATTTTCAAGAGAATGTTTATAAGAAGTATATATTATTGTTAATTAGTTAATATTACCATATCTAAACTTAAAAGATCTAATATCATTTAGATGTGTGAACTCAGTAATCTAAGAGTCAATAAAGCAATATGTCAAATAATATTTAGTAAAAGAAGAAAAATCATTAGCTCATCATCTCTTTTCATCTTATTACCTTGCATCATTAAAAGATTATTTATATTCATTCTTACCTAAAGTTAAATGGTTAGAATTTGATCATATTTAAGCAAAAAAGAATATCTCAAAATATTATAGAGATTTTGAAATCTTAAAGAAAGTACGTTCAATACCTTAATAATATGAATAAATATTTGATGTTTTATTACTTATCTTTTAAGGATAAAGAAAAGTTAATATTTCTAGTTTTGAACAATTTAAAAAATTAAATCTTAAACAATCTTTAAAATATGAGAATATCATTTAAAATATTGATTTATTTAATCGAATTGATGAAAAAGTAGCTAAGAAATTCTCAATTGAATTACATAATACAATACTTCTATGTTAATCATTAATTTCATTATATTATTTAGAAAATATCTTTACAATTGGAAGTTCTGCATCTAGTGAATAACATCAATTTAATTAGATTTCATATTATTATAAATATCATTCAGATTTAATCAATTTTTGGAAAAAAGTTACTCATTAAGATTAAAAATTCCAATTATTCCTTAATTTTTCAACAAATAAAGTTAATTTAGAATCTCAAAATTTATCAGATAGTAAATGTTATACAGATAGAATAAATATATTAATACTTTGTTTGAGTTATTGTGATGATAATTCATTATTGAAATTTAGATTAATCAATAAATAATTTAAAATAGAATGTGAGCTTTAATTAGAAGATAGATTAGTTTTTAGTATATAAGCATTTGAATTTGCCAAACTTTATTAAAATAGGTAATTGTAATGTAGTAAACATCTATAAAATGAATTAGGATTCTTTAATCCTTTATTTGATATGGCCTATACATTTTTAATTGATAAACATTAAGAATTAGTTTAATTTAACAATTTTGAATATATCAAATAATGTGATGATGAATTTACTTTTTATATTAATACTGCATATACATAATTACACAATTTAAATAATCTTAGAAGTGTTTTAGCATAAAAACAATTATTAAGAATAACTAAAACTAATTTGAATCCTTTTAATAAAAAAAAATAATCTATTTAATTAGCAGCTCATGCCTTATAAAATCTTAGTACTCTTGTATAGAATAATCCAAAAATTTCTTATAATTTTCAAATACTTTATCCTTTATATTTGTATTTAAAACTATTCATTATTATTTAACATACAATATTACCAACATAATTTGATTCTAATGAAACTGTTGTATATTTATATAATGAATGTATTAAATATTTAAATATTCTTTTTAAATTGGGTAAGTTATCAACATTAAATATGAGAAATATTATAAATCAATCTTTAGAATATTTTGATTAAAATTAAAAATAAGAAATAGCTTAAAGATTAAATTAATAATTTTTTTAAGTTTACACAAATTTTAAAAGTAGTCTTGATTCTAGAGAAAAAACTTTAGAAATATTAACAGAAATCACAGCCATCTTTGAAAGTATGAACATATTTTTAATTGAAAAAATTACAGAATATGATTTCTTATAATTTGATTCAATTTTTACTACCAAAATTTTAAATTACTTAACTTATACTGATTTAATAAACTTTGCTTGCACATCTTCATAATCAAAAAAATTATATATTACTCATCTATAATTAAGAATAGAAAATGAAGCTAATATTATTAGAACTTTTGAAAAATCAAATAAATAATCTCTCTAAAGTATTTAAAAGTTAAGACCAAAACTTGGATTATAAAAGGATAAAGCTGTATAATTAGTTTAATAATTCACAATAAGCGATTTAAGTGAATTAAAAGCATTTAATCATCCAACATAAGCTTTTGAAATTTTCTGTAGGCCTTTATTAATTTTATTTGACCTTCAATAAAAGAGCAATACTAATTATTGGACAACTCTAAAATCGTTTCTACTTTAATAAAATTCATGGTCATAAATTTCAGATTTCCCACCTGAAACTTTATCAAGGCAAAAAGTGAATTAAATCAAATAGATTTTAAAAAGCCCTAAATTTGATTTAGTTGTTTTAGCAAAACTTAGTTCACCTTTATTAAAATTTATAAATTGGCTTTAGGGTATAATTATTATTATAATTAGGCATTTTGATATTACATAGTTATTTAAGATAATATTGTTTGGGAGATAAGGAAGAAAATCTTTCAGAAGAGCAGTAATAACTATTTACAGTCTTAGATATTAAACAATGTATTTTATATAAAGCAATGAGATATATCAACTAAAATAAATGATTGAATAATATTATTTTATATTAATAAAATAATATAAAAATATATTAGAAATTTAGAGATTGAATAATTAAATAATTTATATTATTTTTAAAACTGATTCAATTTTATGAAATTATTATTCATTATTTATTTCTCTAAAATTTTTATGCTTAATTGGTCTACTACTAAGTTTGTCTTTGCTATTATTATGGTTATTATTATTATTATTATTATTATTATGGTTATTATTATTAGGGTTATTATTATTAGGGTTGTTCTTGTGGTTATTATTATCCAGATGATGCAGTGCTTCTGGAAAATTACTAAACAGGCTTGCTCTATTATACTTCATTTTAAGGTTTAGAGTTACTAAATCCTCCAAAGCTTCTTCCAAATTATGTTTATGTTTATGTTTATGTTTATGCTTATGGTTATGATTATTAAGTTACTTATTAAATAGGTTATTATTATGATGATTATTATTATGATGTTTGAGAACTTCTTGCAAATTTATTTTCAAAAACTGGTTATTTTTCAGCTTATTGTGCTTTTAATTTTTTTTCCTTTTCTTCTTATTCTTTCTTTCTTGCTTCCTCTTCTCTTAATTTTTTTTCCTCATCTTATTTTAATAATTACTATGCTCTATCTACTATTATTTTTTTGTATTTCTAAGTTAATTCTGCTTTAAATTATTCAATCTTTTCTTAAAGTTCCTTTTCCTTCTATTATCTTTTACCAGTCATAATTTCATCATGATATTTAAATGCATCAGTTAAGCTTTCTTTTAATTTTAGATTTGCTTAATATTATTATTCATGTTTTTTTTATGCTTCTTCAATATTATCTTCAGGCCAACTAGTTATAATCTTTGATTCCAAAATAGCTCTTTCTCTTTCAATATAATCATTCTTTTTATAGGTTCTTAAATATTTGTCATCAGCTCCTTTCTTTGCTTCTTCTTCAAATTTCTTTTTAATATCCTATAATATTCCTGTATCTATATTTAACAAATGATAATCCTTTAATAATTCAATCTTCTTTCTTTCTCCATTGATTTCAAATGTAACATATTTACCTCCTTTTAATTTAATTATATCTTATAATAATTTTTATCTAATTGCTA